CGTATGTCAGCATCATGCCAGCGTTGCTTTACAATCGTGGATCTGCATAAATGTGTTTAATCTCCCACATCTCGTTGACATGCTGTGATATAAATGTTCAAAAAGTGAAAACAAACCCAATCTCAAAAAGTCTACTTCTTTAATCAATAGGTGCTACCTACAACATGAAGCCTTTGTTATCCCCTGGACACATGGATGAAGGTAACCTCAGAATCGCCTTCTGGATGAAGCTTTAATAAATGAAATAAACCAAAGATTTCTCACGAAATGCCTCGGCATTTACTTCATGTCAAATTATTGTTTGTTCCGTTATTTCTTTCAAAAGTAATTGAATCCAAAATACTACATAAATCTGTTCAACAATAAAGATGCGATCTAAGCTGATTTGTTTATAACAAACTTTATAACATTAAACATGATCCTGTGCATTGCATTCATTTGCATTCGTCACAGGAATTATGAATATTACTCCAATCAAATTCACTATGAATGTTTTTTTTTCTTCATAATCATTTAATACTCCCTGTTTGCATTATATAATAATAATCAATCAATGAAATTTGCTGGAATTATACTGGGATAATATAAACTTACCTGTATGAAATGAACATTTTGTTTCTGTCATCAGAAGGAGCTGAAACCAAGGAGACGATTCCACTACAAACTGGAATAATGAACGAAGGTAGATGGAATACAGATCACACGAACTATTGGTCTAATGTAACAATTTAACATTTACATAAATCGATGCAACAATAAAAATGATCTGAAAGATCACATTGCATGACAGCATTTGTTTTAATGACCAACGGAACTAAACAATTTACATTTACATTCATTAAAGGAAGAGGTTTCTCTACAGAGATATAACAGAAATCCTTGTCTACACATATATAACAGGAATCCCTGACCAGATGCACAATGAATGGGGTTTTTTCTTAATGATCCATTTTCTGACTCATTTTATCAAGCAATGCAAACAAATGCTGGATGCTGGAACAAACATATGCTAGCTACATCTGCAAAATGTTATTCCGAGTTTACAAGAACTGAAAGTGTTATTTCCCTCTATGGCAAGGTTCTCAGTGGTTTTACTGTATTTCCGTAAAATTGTAAACTGCTTTGCCGTGTCATCTGTTTCAGATTTGCTGCAACAAGAGATGATGCAGACGGAAAGCGTTTTCATGAAAACTGACATCTACTACAAGGTGAAGAAGGAACTGGAGACACACAGACATGTGACGATGAGCGGAACTGTGGGGGGAGGGAAGAAGTCTATTGCTCTGGTGTTAGGGAAGCAGTATAACGATAGGGGCTTTAAAGTGCTTTTTGTTGTTGATGTTTGCAAAATCAATCTGAGTGATTGCTTAGCTGGAGAAGAAAATGTTTGTATTATATTTCATGACATCTTCAAAACGGTCGAATTACCAAGGGACAAACCACAGGTTGACCGCTATTTACATGAACTGGAAGAGGAACTTGAAGCGTGTAAAACCGTAACTGGAGACAAAAGGGAGGTTTATGCAATAGTAACTGCCAACACAAACAACGTTCACGGTGAAATATCGGAGTTTGGGAAATATTTTTTTAGTGGTTCTTCTTTTATTGACTTCACTCAGTTGTCCTGTCAGTACTCTTACGAGGAGAAGAAGGAAATATTTTACAATCATTGTAAATCATCACATTCAGATGATCTGGGCCTCGATGTGGAAAGGATTTGTAGTTTTGAACAGTCTGTCTTAGGCTTTCCTCAAACATGCAAACTATTTTTTGAATTTCCAAATTTTCGAAAGCATCGTGAAAGGTTCTTCCGTGAGCCTTTCCGCTATCTTACAGAAGAACTAGCAGCAATTCTCCGCCAAATGAATGATGAGTCAGGTGCTCTCGTCCTGGTGTTTCTAGGTACAGACAAACTTAACTTAGGAGAAGTGGAGATGCAGTCTGACAACCAGGACCTGGAAGATATGTTTATATTGATTACAGATGTTGTACGCATTTCGACACGAACAAAATTAGCTAATTCCATGAGACACTTCCGTGGTACGTTTTTCACAAAGGGAGACATAGCAGGCTTTGCTCATCCTTCCATCTACGATGCCTGTGCGTGTGCCTTATTCACTCTCAACCCATCCCTCGTCTTGGAATATTGTCATATGAAGTTCCTTCGTGATCATGTGCGTCTTGACCAACATCTGGAGACTTCTACTGTGGACGAGAATCAACCTACTATCCACGTATCAGAAGTCTACACTCCCATAATTGATAAAAGACGCGGTAGTACTATTATTTTTTGTTCAGTTTAAGAAAGTATAACAGAATCAAATCTCAGTCTCGCTTGCTACACTTTTTTGGTAGATTTGCTGATTCCCATTGTTGGTGTGTTAGTGACAAAAAGTATGCCTGATGCAGTTCTTTATCTCAACCCTATGTCCCCATTTACATAAAACAAAACACGAGAAAATAGAACAACCCCAACCTTAAATAACACCCTACATCTCTTACACAGCTAGCCAGTTTCATTTTGTAAATGGTTATATTGCTGTTCAAGTATTCTTAGAATGTTTGTTGTTTCTTTTTTTCATCCACTAGCTTCGGACAGTCATTCAGAAAAGGAGCTGCCAAACAAAATAATTTGGAATGATGGTGTAAGGACCAGAGGTAGATCTATAACATCAGTCTTGTGGTTGGCAATGTAAATTCTTTATTTTCCACTAACATCGTAACCCTTGGTGTCTTTTTGATCACCACTTGATTGCCAAGGATAAACTATATTTATTTAATAAGACCATCCTTTCATACTGATAACCAGAATCATCTGTAAAATTCTGTTTATAACATGAAACAAATTACACGAGAAAGCATATGTAAATGTAAGCCTTAAACGTTGTGGAAACAGATATTAATTTATATGTTTTGCTTATTCGTTAGAATGGCTAGACAAACAGGCGACGAAGATAGAAGAAGAGTTTGTGAAAACTGGCATCTACGAGAGAGTGAAGGAGACGTTGGAGACTCACGGACATGTGACAGTGAGTGGTGCAGCAGGTGGAGGGAAGACCGCCATTGCTCTGATGTTAGGGAAACATTATGAGGAGGAGCGAGGCTTTCTGCAGGTCCATGTTGCTGATGTTTCCAAGTTCAAGCTGGATGTCTACACGCGTGAACTTGGTCACAGGAGCGTGTGTTTCATATTTCATGACATATTTAAGATCAGAGAGCGTTCAAAAGACATATCTGTTCTCAAAAGTGTTTTGCATCAACTCAAAGAGCGTCATTTGATAGACTGTAAGACAAAGACACAAGAACACAAACTGTACACCATATTTACAGTTGATACATACAGCGACCATGGTGGGATGTCGCAGCTTGGGGACGAAGGGTCATATTTTTTCAGTGGTCCATCGTTCCTTGATTTAAACAAGATTTCATATCAGTACAAACCTAAAGAGAAGAGACTCATCTTTAACAAACTTTGCAAAGGTTTTCAAACAACTGTCAAAGTGAAAAAGATTTGTGGATTCGACCAATTCATCCTTGACTTTCACCAGACATGCAGACTCTTTGTTTTGTTCGAAAGTTTTCAAAAACATCCTGAAGATTTCTTTCAAAGACCTTTTCACTATCTGAAAGAAGAATTGAAATCAATTGTTGGACGTGGAGATGATCGGTCAGCCGCTCTTATCCTGATGTTTTTGTGTGATGGTTCACTGAACTTGCACCAAGTTGAACTCCCGTCTGACAACAAGGATTTCGAGGCACTGTTCACGACGATGAAACGCGTAGTGCGATATACAACGAGGACACCTGTAGCCATGGCAGTGAGGCAGTTTCGTGGTAGCTTCTTCACAAAAGGAGATATAACGGCATTTGCCCATCCTACCTTCTATGATGCGTGTGCCATTGCCTTATACCAGGACCACAGAGCGTTCGTGCTGAGATATGCCAGTATCAGGTTCCTTTGTGAGTATGTGTACACAGAAGAAACAGAAGATACCCTTCCTCAGACTAAGATCTATGTACCTAGAGGCTACATCGATGTACTGAGAAGCAGATTGTCTAAACTAGACAGACGACACCCCAACTATAAAACCCTCCAGACTTTGATTGCAAAATAATCTGGCAATATCTGTGAACCAAGGAATGACGTGTGAACCTGTCGTCATCAGTCCGATACAGTTATCTGTTTATGTGGCCTTTCTAAAGCTGCAAGCTCAAATATGAAGTCTAGACATGTCGATACTAATAGTGAATGGATCTGCACGACTGATAATAAAACCTTTTCATGACAAAGAAGTAGCACAGCAAAAATAACTTAGTTTCCGTTCTTGTGGAAACCTATTGGACACTGGGTAATGTAGGTTTCCGCTAGGTTTCTGTTGTCGGAAACAGACAATGAGAGTTTCCGAACAGTTTACAAAACTGAAACTAACAAAATTAGGTTTCCGTCAAGTTTCTACAACTGAAATTTTCATTATATGTTTCCATTTAGTTTCAGTTCGCTGAAACATTCATAGCAAAAATGACTATTGGATACTGGGTAATGTAGGTTTCTGCTGGGCTTCTGTTCCCGGTGTACATTGGTGATAGACTAGTTATTTTACTGTCCTTTGCAGACAGGTAAGTATATAAGATTGTTTTTATTTCATGTACACATTTGGAAATTTAACACTTTCATAGTCACGATATGGCTGCCGATGTGACTTTGTAATTCAGTCACTCACCATTCTACATACAGAAACTTACAATTGTGAATGTACCATTTATTACATTTTACATGAAAAAACAACAAACTCAATAACACAGTCACTGTTATTATTCAGCTTTTTCATCGTTTTGAATAGCTCACATTTCAATAGAACTCAACACAACATCAAAGCATTATGTATGTATGTGCGTGTGTGTGTATGAGAAGTCATATCAAGAGGGAATCTTCAGCATTGGTGAACACAACTTCTGTATGAATATGCAAATAATCAATATGTCAAAACCTTACAAAATTGTATGCATGTCATGAAATGAGGTCAACTTGTGCAGGCATAACATACTTGCTGTGGTATTTATTTATTTTATAACCGATTTCAAATTCTAATGTGTTTGTATGAAAGGCCATAGGCCCATATACATGAATTGTACATTTGAAGCTGCCTCAATGTATCTTATCATATACACACTAACAATCTCACATACTAAAGACTTGGCAACTCGCTGACAATCATGAAGCTTCTGTTGCACTCATACTGAGTAGGCAGCAGTCCACTGATCTGGTACACATGAAGCAGAACCTGAGTTGAGACATTTGTTTTGCCACACAGAGAAAGGGGAAATATAACCAAGTTGATGACAACAAGGCTTGAACCAGTCCACAACAGCAAACAGATGGTGTATGCTCTACTTAAGATATCTGTTGGTGAATGTGAGGAGTCCTGGTTGATGTCTGGGACAACATCGTTGCCATCCTCATCGTCCCACACAGACTGTGCATCATCCTACAAATACAATACATACAATGCTTAGTAAAACTACAGAAACAGCCAAAATAACACATGTATACATATTCAAATGCATGCAAGGAGGTACATCTGATCACAATGAAATTATAAAATTAGAACGACTAATTTATAGATGTAACGAAAAGATTTATTTCACAATCACAAGGGAAAGGTCCGTAGCATACATGTATATTGTATCTTCCATTGGACATTGTCACTTATTTGATTGATAAAATATGCAAGAAAATAGTAGCCAACCCAGTGTTCTGAAGCAAATTGTGGTAGTAATAATTACTGTTACTGTACTCATATTCAAGGTAACATCTACTACCAAATCACCAATTGAAATGAAAGTATAAGTACAACAGTACATACATATTTTATTAGATGGGAATGGGATGGGAATGTAACACCTGATTATATCAGTGATGTTATTCATTTCACTTGAAATTACCAACTCATCTGAGAAAAGCATGCAAAATCTAACATTTCCCATGAATGAAAAAATCGCCAGTAGGTATTTCTTAGTCTTGTCAACCCCCTAAGGAAACAATTCTCAGCAGTATAATAACATGGAATAGGCAATGACGTTTACTTGACTTTACTTTAAAAACTGTAAAATGTGTAATACAACTTGTTCACTTTCAGTAACAGTTACATATCTGATATACAATAATTAAATATATTCATTATTGATATATGATATATATCAAAGGGACAGTGCAAACTGAAGTCGTTAAGTGAAACCTGTGAAGTGAAGTATCTTTGGTAACTAACCTGATGAAAAACTGCCGTCCATTCGAGACGGATTCCTTGTTTCCTTGAAACAAACGACTGGCAGTGCGGACAGAAAATGGGTCTTTTTCTTGGAACTGAAAAAGCAATCAACTTATAATTTCACTGGAATCCACGCACTGTTACATTTTAAGTGATTATATTTTTCACAAAGATAAAGAAATTTATTCTATATATCTATTTAGTGTTTATTTGTTTTTGACTAAAGTCTAAATGAATAAATAATATTGTTATAAGATTTACTTTAATTAAATTAGGAGCATTGTATGGAGTAACTATAAATGATTACCAAGCCAAGCCTCTTGTCAATCTCCAACAAGTCAGTGGATCCACAATACGTATCTGTAAATGAAATAATTGAAACAATGTTTATTTTAGAAATGTTATACGTGAGTTGTGTCAATGCATTGTAGGGCTAAGAGGTTCAATAATTGATTACACAAAGCTATAAGTGTAAAGTATATGTAGTGATGCTTTGAATTGTTATAAAATGATAAAGTAGATGAACTGGTATAATTAGATAAATACCGCCATATAGCTGGAATATTGCTGAGTGAGGCGTAAAACTAAACACACTCACTCAGATAAGTAGAACCGACATTAGATAAACTGGAATTCTACCATGACTTCAGTAAACACTGGATTGTGATTGGTTAATTAAAGTCATTCAGAGGTATATAATCACGTTATACAGGTCTCTGTTTTCCGTGCGCAATCATACATGGTTTACGGTAATGCACTATTTTTGTCTGCCCTCTAACATGGCGGACACCAAACACCCTACCGATGCATCGATAAATTACGGCGATTTTACTGTCGGAAATTACACATATGTCTTTAAAGATGGATTTAGCGATGACGGGCTCGACTCACTACTTGCGTAAATCACAGCAATAGGTGTTTATACATACAAAAGTACTTCGAAAGCATGGAAACAAATATTCAGTCGAACAAGATCAAAACATCGTCTGCTTTCCGAATAAAAATTCAGCAAAAACAAATTTGTTTACGTTGATTCTATGTTATGTCAGAATAGATCCAGCAATAGACTGCTACAAAATTTCCATGTTAAATTTATTATCAGCTTTCGTCAACGATATCGCTACTGATCTTGATCCGGTAACGGAGGATGCATTAACATCGAACGCCGAAGAAATTTTAATGCCTTCCGTCCACATAAATAAACAGTTGGGTTATCAATTCAAACAAAATGATATTTTGAAATTTGTACTGTTTCAAATTTAGCGGTATTAAAACACAATTAAATCTAAAGAATCTGCAAACCGTTCTGTTTAGCCCAACATATTTTTTTTCTAAATGTTTAATATCGTTGAAAAAGTTATTCAGCTTAGTCATGATCCCTCTTATCCATTACACTGCTTGATCTAAAGTAGTCTATTAAAGTATAATTAATTACCTTACCGTGTTTATGCCAGAGACACACCCTCGTGTCCTGATCCATCCTTTCGGAAATATCACCACAAATCTGGCTCTTTGTCAACAGACTCGCGAACATGCCAGCGATTCCGATTCAATTTGAATTCACTACACTTTGAAGCCACTAGGTCACAAAACACTTTCCAAAATGTAGAAAATAATATCCGTAGAATCGAATTTGAGCACAAAGTACACACATGAGTGTGTAAGAGTCACCACAGCTGTCGCACGCAGACGTAGAGGTGCGTGAAATCGTCAAGTTGACAGGGCGCAAAATTCAACAGTATCTAAATTCGGTACAACACGGACTTCTCGTTACAGCAAAAGCGCCCCTACTCTTAAATTTTGTACCAGTACCAGTAATTAGATATCAAAGACTATCTCAGTCATACAATCAGGTTAACCTTGCGCAAACTGTCAGAGGCTCTCCTGTCGCATCTTTCCAAATGTGCACGTAAATGTAAACAATGACTTCGAGAAAAGGTCAAGGCCACGAGGTTGCTACCACTTTTCTGGTGGGGAAAGGGTCTACGGTGGAATTTTCAAATGTGAACCAAGCTTTTTAAACTTATTTGATATATGTTTTCCAACTTATCAGTTAATGATTGGTGATTGGTGCATTAAAAAAACAAAACGTGATTTGTTATTACTGAATCTGGAGTTTGTTAGTCATTGACGGTTTGCCACCAAACACCCCGTTTCGGGCGATACCACTTGAGATTGGAATGCGAGGCCGCTTCACGTATTGACTCGTAACCAAAGAAAGAGCTCCACCTGAAATTGTTCATAAAATTGTCCTGGTAGAATGGAGATAACCCTACTGTGTTGGAAAATCAGAGGTATATAACGAAGTTATAATAGCTCTAAATTGTTCATTTAAAACCTCACGCTACGCGTTCGGTTTTAAATTAAATTTAGAGCTATTATAATTCCGTTATATACCTCTGATTTTCCCACACAGTAGGTTTATCTCCTAAATATATAGTGAAAAATAAGATAAGTAATCTTATTATAATACATGGGAATAGTATACGTAGATCTAGGTGTAGAACTGAAAAGAATGAACATGATGTAATCATTTCTAATACACTTGTATGTTTTTAGCTCAATATGTAAATTATTTACAAGATGAAGTTTTACGTCTAGAAGAAATAGTTCCGCATATTGCCTACTTCTGACAGGATTTTGAACAATCACTTATTTGCCACTAACACAAGTTCTCGTGAGAAATAAATCAGTAGGACCCATGAAGCTCAGGCCTTTTAAAGAAACGAGAATATGTTTTCACAGTTATTCACTGTTATTTAGTGTTAATTATCTCTAGGCCTACATGTTGATGCTTGCAATTGACACTGAGAAGAAGCAGTGAGTGTCCCTAATGCGATGAAAAGACCCATAAGCCCATAACAGCCCACTGTGTTCACTTTGGGTACTCACATTCAATCTGCTCATTTCCACCTTTCACGGTCCCCTTTGATGTCGGCAATGCTAACAAATAAAAATTGGCGGCCGGATGACGTCCACGCGAGACTACCTAAATCATTCTAAAAACACACAACTGACATTTTATGTCTATATTGTATGTTTGTTTTGTTGTATAACGCGGAAAGCTATTGTCAAACTGTAATTTTAGAGTTAGATTAATAAAACCCAACAAAGTGTATTTCCCGTGAGTCTTTGCGAGACGCCATTTTCATAGCCGCCTCAGTTTCCCTCAAAGCACTGGAAGAGAGAATTCACGAAAAGAAAGATGGCAATGGCAACGAAAATCTCGCATTACCATGACCGTGTCAGGTAAGACCAAAGTTTTTTGTTCTCAAATAACGTTTAAAGAATGATTTACTTTACGTACAGAAATCCGGATTGCTAAACAAGCTAATCTCGCAAATTACAGTCATTGGTCATAAGCATGATAAGTATTCGTCACTGTGCATAATTTCCATAGACTTACATGTTAATTTGGTGCAGCTAGAAAAATTATCTTGAATTAATTTTCCGTTTGATATTGTTAATATTTTGCACATGTGTCATGAATCATCTCAGCTGCAATGACATAATTTCCGTTTTATTTTCCATTCAGTATTTCAAGAATGACCACACTTTGATTGATGCGTGTCATGGTTATGACAATTTTTAACATGGCGGTCTATGGGGTGTTGTTGTCTATATGTTGCTCATGTAACTACAACGCGGAAAATACTTGAAGGTACATTACATCGAAATTATGTATCTGTGACCAAGATGATTACCTAACAACCTGCCAAATTTGACAACAAAACTAAGGAAAACTGAATTAATGAAAATTACACAGCTACACATGCAAGTCTATGAGAATTTTGCCGACTAACGAATACTAAAATTCCATGACTGTATATACAGTTTCGCTCGGTTGGTGAAGTAAAATAAGTATATCTAAAAATTTACTTATCTACTATTTTGCAAAATATAGCAAAAAGATTATTTATTAATGGATTTGTTTTATTCATTTAGGCTGTTGTGAGAAAACGTTTGTCACGACTACTCCTGGAGGAAAAGATCACCCTCGCTTACTGAAGGAATGTGTTTATGGTACAACGAAACACATTTTCTTTAGCGGCGGGGAACATTGCGATGTTTGTGGCAAACACTTGTTAAGTTTGATACACATTTTGTTTCTTAACTTCATCAGGCGATGTGATGGCACAATCAGCCACTGGGTTAAGTTCCTTGAGTTTACATATAAACTAACATATTTTTAGATACGTCTCAAATAATACAACAACACAGAGATAATGACGCAACCATCTTTATGTTATGGAATCACCGTCTTTAACTTGTGTGGCGACATGTCACTCGCGCTGCACGACACAAACTGATGGACATTCGCGGGTTGTACCCATTTCCCAGCTTAATATTGCACACTGACACACACAGTTTATCCATTGGTGGCTCAGTTATATTCAAAAGTTAAACGCTTGATCTTCTATGTAAGGTGCTATGATAAAGTGTGCACTTAATAAAGACAAAGAGCACCCTGCGGAAAGTACTTCTTCAAGACTTTATTACTCTGAATACAGACCATCAGATATCATTACCATGATGAGCTCGTCTGCGACTAATAATCATCATATAGCATTGTAGGTAAAGGAAACCAAAAACATTCTATAAGCTTTACCTATCTAAGAATTCGTAACCCCAAATACAACATTTATTACAACACCTTGTAGAACACTGTTGCAGTTGTGTCACGTTGTTTTTTGCTAAGATTTACTCTAAGATGCTTCGGTAAACGATCAACGGTGCCGACAGTACTTTTATCAGACGATAATGTGCATTTTTTGCATTACGTCACAATGTAATACCATCCTAGTGTGACCCCTCGTAATCGAACACATTAGCATTACGTCACAATGTAACCGATGTCACGATGCATGTCAGTTGTCACCGCCTCGTAAAGCCTCCTATAGTAAACTACTCCGTTGCATCCCGTTGGTTTGCAGCTGCTTCACGCAGCTAGCGTCACTGGTGGAAACATTACGTTCATGTTTTCCGGCGTTTAAAATGTCTCAATTCGACTCACAAGTCTTCACCGACACGGTAATGTTCGTAATGTTTACATTCCCACAATGCAATCTTGGAATGTCGCTTGACAACTCAGCTTCGTCTTCATGTACTGATCTAAACTTACGTTGGTAGTAGAAATGCGACGTTCTTATGGTTTACGTTAATCATAGATGAAATTAATATAATTTAGAGAAGATATCTAATCCGAACGTAAACCGTCATGAAACTGTTTATTATTGTTTTTCTGGTAACGTTCGTCTAAGTAACGTAGGGGGCAGATACATCTATAGAACAGCACGCCAGTTAGCCCTGTGCGAGGATTCTTAATTTAGGTCACTGACACCGTCGATTGTTTTCTGCCTTAGATTAATAATAATAATAATAATAATAATAATAATACACAAGATTTGTATAGCGCCTTATTTGCTTATTTATAAAACACTCTAAGACGCTTAACATATAATATACTGTATGGTGATATACAGGTGATATACAAGTGATGTTAAAAGATGAAATATCTAACACATGGATAAAACACATACAAGGAGTAACATTGTACGCAGTGATAAAACACATACAAGGAGTAACGTTGTACACAGTGATAAAACACATACAAGGAGTAACGTTGTACACAGTGATAAAACACATACAAGCAGTAACGTTGTACGCAGTGATAAAACACATACAAGGAGTAACGTTGTACACAGTGATAAAACACATACAAGCAGTAACGTTGTACGCAGTGATAAAACCAGTGATAAATTATGTGGAATAAGCAGCTGTAAAAAGATGAGTTTTAAGAGCTTTTTTAAAAATGCCCAGTGAGGATGAACTTCGTAGGCTCATTGGTAGACTGTTCCAAAGATTAGCTGAAATGCTGTCAAAACATCTGTGGCCATACGTTACTGTACGTGTCTTTGGTTGACAGAGACGGGATTCAGATTCTGATCTGAGTGACCTGGTTGGATGATATGGCTCAACAAGTTCCTGAAGATAGTATGGGGCCAAACCGTGGATACATTTATAAGCATACATCAAGATCTTATACTGGCATCTCTGTCTGACTGGGAGCCAGTGTAGCTTCTCTCTCACAGGCGTAATCTCCTCACGTCGGCCAGTTTTGGTAATGAGTCTAGCCGCACAGTTCTGCACCTTCTGTAGACGACTGGTGAGGGTTTCAGGTAGTCCACAGAGAAGACCATTTCCTTAATCCAGTCTAGATGTTACTAAAGCATGTACTAGAGTCTTACAACAGTCTTCTGTGATGTATCTGCGTATGGCTGAAATGCTTCTGATCTGGAAGTAGCATGACTTGGAGATGGCATTGACTTGTCTCTCCATTGTCAGTCTGCAGAGATTAATCATAATTATCCTTAGAAAGTTTTAAATTTGGCATCTTAGAAAAGAAATACAGTTCGCTCTTCCACCATGTATAGTGTAATAAAGCACACTTTCGCCCTGAACTATGATGACGGACACAAGCGTCCTCGTGCTTTAACTATAATAGTTCAGGGCGAAAGTGTGCTTTATACATGGTGGAAGAGCGAACTGTATTTCTTAAGTAGAAATGATTTCTTTGGAGTCAGGATTGGCCTGGAAGCTTCTATTTCAGCGCGTTTGAAAGCAATATTTCAGCATTTAGTTTCAGAACAGAACCTTTAAACTGTTGTCACATCTCACATTTCATGAAGAAAGTTTGAGCACGTCTGACGAGACTTATGCATCAATAAGGGAGGTGGGAGTCCCCTGGAAAAAAGTATGCACAAAAACTCTCTCATCACATGTCCCGAACTTCCATGAATGTTTGAAAACCCAGACATATGACATTTCTCTCCTGTAAATGGACGTCCCATGATACGGCAGTTACCTAAAGTGAAAGCATCAGCTCTCTACATGGCTAAGAGGAGGTTACTGTCTCCTTCTCTCTCTAACATCTCTGCAGAGATAAATATAAGTGAGCTCACATTTCTGTTTTCTTTTTGATGCATAACGGTTGGTTGGTGATATGTATGAAATAATTGCTTTATATCTACAAACTGACAGGGAAATGGCCTATATTTTCTGTCTCGGTTATACATACCGGTTACTCTGTGTATTCAGTAACACAAGGCCTAATAAACATCTTCCTTGCTGTCTACAATGATCTTTCAGTCCACATGGGCTGTTCTCCTGTTGCATGCTGACCATCCTGCTACTTGTCACTTAACCGGCAAAACATCGTCTTGGATCCACCATCTCAGCTTTGCTGCACCCACTGCTGTATCCACTGTCAACAATCGTCGCCTGTAGTTTCAAGACGAAACAGACTACGACTTGGGATCAAATCATAGAAGACCACAGACAACTCCCTTAAAGGAAAGTGGGAGAACATAGTGTCTTGTTTAAATTGACTGTTCAGTCTGTGCTAATGTTTGTTTTCATGGTGACGTGTGATAGCTTAAATGAACGATCAGACATTGTACTTGGTATAGTACGAAGCTGCACATGGTATAGACTTCAGTTAGGTGACAATTGGCAGGTTCCTGTACTCCCAATACTGACAAACAATCGTAAAGCAAACTGCCGCTCGTGGTATGGAATTTCGCTGAACATAAATGATTCGCGAGAGACAGCGCCAAAGATTCAGGCACCTATCCCCAGTGACATCTATAGCAATACAGACGACCAGTTCAAAACTGATTAACATCATCGGCTGCGACGTCAGTGGTGTTTGGGACACAGAGCATTGCCTCAACAGCGATGGAGACGTGTGCGGTTTAGTGAAGAGTCATGTTTATTTCGCTTGGGGGTACAGACAGAAGAGTCGTGGGAAAGGTTATATTCAGAACTGTATACACAGTGAAATCTGTCAAAGCCGGACACTGTGCAATACGGCTTTCTCAATACGGAGTCTTGTTTTCAATTTCTCATTAACGCTTGCTTTATAATCCGGACTCTCTCAATTACGGAATACGGATTAAAATGACAGTCCCAACAATCAATTTGCTATAAAAAAAATGTTTTGTAATCCGGTCTTAGCTGACTAAAATAACAGTCTGTTGAATACATCTCGGTTACTTCTGTTTTGGTGGTATCTTCCCATAAGACAGACCTCCCAAAAGACAGACCACCTAAAACAACACATTTTATGGTTGGTTGCGTAATGCCTAATTAAGCTGTACCCTTGATAACACTGGTATGTGCCCAGATAGAAAAAGACAACATTAGGTATTAACTAGGGATGCTACGATGCACAGATACTTTTCCTAAACGATACAATTGTACATTAAGTGGACAGGCTTGGTGGCGAGAGTGTAATACTATAGGCTGAAATCTCCCATGCCGGAAGAACGGATTTGGCACACGACAAGAGCAATGTCTACGACACAACGTCACACAGATGAAATTCTTCAGCCGTATTTCTCTGTTGCCTTAGAGGTGTACCATTCTGGAAATAAACGTTATTACTATTCACAGTAGCATAGGGTAATCTTGTCGTATGACAGCCAGATATGAGGTAATGTATCATAATCAGGTTCAAATTACTTTCTAGAGAAAGAGCAACTTTCTATATGCTGTGTGACCTTGTTAACGTCATCACTGGGAAGTTGCAGAGATGGAAAGTGTTCTATTCAACAAACTTGAAATTATGGAGAAGCATTATATAAACATGCTGACATTGTCTCTTAAAGACAATTATAAGGTAGACATGCCTAATAATAGAGATATAGAGGTATTAAAGTACACAAATGCAAATAGCATATGTCGAAATAACCCACATCGGCCGAACTGGGCGTTCAGTGGGATGCGTAATAGGATATCCAAAAAAGCATGTTTACTTGTAAAATCGGACAAAACTTAGAAAAAATACGAATAGCTGCTGAAAACAGTAGATCAGACTATAGATGGCAATCAGTTCGCTCAGCCAGGTATGACGACGGACCGTCGGCTCACCTGGCATGAAATGCACGTGCTGCCTACAGGCACAAGATGTCATCTCAAAGATAGGTTATGTTTTTTCATGTGTGTTGACTATGTCTCATCTATTGATTAACATCTTACGTGTTTTTCTTTCATAAATGTTACGTTGAGATATGTAGAAGAGTATGATACCCATAGAAAAGCTTAATTCAGCCATCTTATTAAATGTCTCAAAATATATAGGTGGCATGACCACCCGAAGATCGACAGGACTGGATATTATTTGTAAGTTGTTATGACATGCTACTTCCCCAGTTTAATTACCCTAAAGGATTATCTTATTTTAGTTGATATCTCTTTCCCCCAGCCCGACCCCAACCACCGACTGCGACATCCGTCCTGGTATTGCTTTTGTGACGACCCCTCCTACCTGTTTGTTTTTATAGTGATTGTGACACTCCATGGTAGCTACATCCTTAATAGTTTCAGTATTAAAGCAATTATTTTTTACGACAGCTATAATTTATAATGAAGCTAAGTCTAATTTCAAAATGGACAATTAAAAAATGTCCTTTGCCATACAATACCATCGCTCACTAGTTTGCATAAAGCCATGGTCTGTTCCAAATAAGTCGCTTTGGACTTAGAAACAAATCACATTGCTCATTTCTGCACTAATCTCTCCTTAGTAACATCCTTATTTTACGTTTCCTATCTCCCTACTACTGAGACTGTAGTTAGGCCGAACTTAGTTTAACAGATATTTCACACTTACACATATTAGTAACATAAATTGTAGATATGAATGTGAAAAAAACAGTTTTTCCTATTTCCGACAGTTCTTTTAGATGCACCTGTAGGAAGATGCAATATGAGGTATTGAAAAGTAAAAGTCAAATACACTTTGACGCTCTTGGTAAAACTTCAATTCAATAATCCACGAAAGAAACTAAACCATGTTATGGTATAACAGCTTTGCAAAGATGTATATAATGATGGTACCTTGATTTTTATAAACAAGCAGAAAATGAAAGTTAACCCATTGGTTAACCTACAAACAAAGACTGATGAAATGCCAATCACCTTAAAGAAATGTGCCTCTTTTTCAATTTACTGGCTTACTTTGACCTACAAGGAGGTATAAGACGTTTAAGACGCATGCAGGGTGCTGTCATGTTGATATTCTGTACGAGAGAAGAAGGCAGGTAAAATGATCAGGCCATGCCAATTTATAAATGCTGAAAGCTGTGCTAAAATATGGTTGAAATATAAACTGTTCCGCCTCCAGTGCCTTTTGATCCTCTGGAGTCTGTTTCCCGTAACAATCTTGATGTCTTGATGTTATACGTTACTGATCAAGATTCAATTTTTAAGGACAATCTTATTATGGCTGGGAATAAAGATATACATGTGTAAGTACACGAACTTTATGGACAAGCAACACAGGTCGGAAAAACGCCCAACACGGGAACATTGATCTAAAGGAGAACTGTCAGGTCTGGGATTGAGAAACGGAAGATACTATGAACCCGTGTGATTGAAACACACACTAACTTTCACTTTACTTTTATACGTAAACGATACAGGTTTACATATTCACCAATTGAAGACACAGGGATGGTAACTTTTACTTGTTTGACAAAATCACAGGTATTTTCAGTTAGAGAATGATGAAATACGCATTATACTTCAGTCTACCATTTTCGTAATGATCTCTGCACGTGAACAAACTGTGATGTGATTGGCCATTTTCCACATGCTACTTAATCTCATCCCAACCTACCAATCAGCTCTGCGATGTGTGGGGCAGTTGATTCTGATAGGTACTGCAGATGGTTTCTGACATGCAATACGATGTGTGGGGCAGTTGATTCTGATGGGTACTGCAGATTGTTTCTGACGTGCAATACGATGCACACCCATCACGTAGAAGTGTAGTTCAATGTAGTTTCAGCTGCAAGGTTGGCTGTATGGCGTATGCGCCATTTCTCATTTTGCTATACATCTGCTTCCACCTAATTTTCATAGCTTGTTGTAAATTGGTTGCTTATCGTGGATGTAGTCACTCCAGCCATCATCTACATCGAAACGTCCCTAAATACTGTCGCTGAAGAAGTTGTGTTCTACAAGTTAACTCACACATTTCTAGAATGTCAATAAATCAGCTGCCAAGTACTTTGCGCTAAGTTATCCACCTGAACTAAAATATTGGAGCCATGTGGAACTATAGTAACGAGCAGAAAAATTGCGACAAAAAACTTGATTCTGTAGACTCGATCCTACAATCAAAAAAGCCGAAATACATTGTTTCTAGCCGCCAGTAGCTTGCCTCGTTGGTATGGAATTACCTCCCTTGGGTTCAGGGATGGCTTGATCACGTGGCCTCGTTGCTAGCAGACGATACCGAAGCTTTGCCATGACGTCACAAAACAACAGAAATCGACTCTTGGCATATTATGAAGCAGGTATTACATCCGTAACTAGACTTGTGAAACTGACGGGACTGCATCGGGCCTCTGTTTACCGAAATTTGAAGAAATTTGACGAAGGGTTAGGGACAGAGCAACAGGCTGGATCGGGACGTCGTGCTACTCTTGGGGCAAATGACAGACGACGTATCGCGGCGGCGTACCCAAACTGGTCTGCAAAACAGCTTGCTGTGAAGGCGTCAAGTCAAGGAACCCCTAAGGTATCAGAATGGACAATCAGAAGATCTTTAAAGCAATCTAGATATGTCAAGCGAGTGCCGAAGAAAGTTCCATTGATGACAACAACACATATCGAGAAAAGGCTTGAGTGGTGCAGGGAAATGCAGGGTACAGACTTTTCAAATGTGATTTTTACGGACGAATCAAAGTTTCAGTTTTATAGGATCACAAGAAAGGGGTGGTCAAGAGGTGGACGTAGCTGGAAAATCATTCCGAAGTTCTCACCCAGTATCATGGTTTGGGGTGGTATAGGCAAACTCGGGTAACGACGCAGCTAACTATTATAGTAAGGATGGATTCACGCAAGTACCATCAACTTATACAAGAAGGCATAGTGGAATCCCATATAGGATAGAGTGGAATACCTTTCAGACTTTTACAGGACAATGCACCTGTACACAAGACAAGACACACCTGTAACTGGTTTGAAACGAGTCACGTGACCTTAGAGAAATTTCCAGCGGCATCACCAGACCTGAACCCAATTGAAAATGTGTGGCAGATTATGAAGGACTAATCTCATCAGTCAAATATGGGTGGACCTACCCCAGGACTACATAGACAATTTGATTGACAGCATGGGACGCCGTATTCAGCAGTGCATCGAGAGAAACGGTGAACTAACAGACCATTGACTGGAATAAATGTAAACTTCAGTATCCAGAGTGGATGTATGAAAAATATAACTGAATTTTTCAGTAAATAAATTTTGAAACTACGTCCGTGCAAAGGTGCATTTTTCTGCTCGCTACTGTACATACTCCGTTTCATGCCTGGATCTGTGTATGCCTCTCCACTGGATAGTATGAAATCATCAGTCAGGCTTTCTTTTGTTATTCTGAATCTTTCTGCACCGATCTGAATATGAAACTGATGATGCGGTCTCACTTTTCTTCTTAATTTTGAGTCAGACTTTGATAAGACAGTGCAAGACTTTATTAAATCTCATATGTGAGATACCAGTTCAGATTTTCCTGTAAGTGAAGAGCTTCTTTCAAGGGAACTTACGACTGCAGGAATAAATTATGCTATAAACTACCTAGAGAGCGGAAAAGCTTCAGGAGAAGAAGGAATATTACCTCAGGTGCTGAAGTGTTCCAGTGACGTGCTCATATATTATGTACGTGTTGCGCTGAATAAAATATTTGAATCTGGAAACTTTCCTACAGTTTGGAATATAGGTATGATTGTCATTCTCCACAAATCAGGAGATAAGGCAGGCCCTAACAATTACCGGGGGATTTCGATTTTGAACGTTTCGGGAAAATCATTTACAACTGTCTTAGAAAAACGTTCGAAGTCTTAGATAGAACTGAACGACTTAATATGCGAATCCAAGCTTGCTTTAGGTCTAGTTACTGTTCCACCGTCAATATATTCCCATTACAAGCATTGATCGCTAAATATATCATACTGAGTCAAAAAAGAAACTTCACATCCTTTCTTCAGGGCACTATAAAAGAACAAGAGATGGTAAGATGGTTAAATTGTTATTACTTCATTGCTGAGATCTGTGTGATGTACTCGATACACTGACAGTGCCATAATCAGTTCCATTAGGCTACGCCGCCGTTCCAAAACAGGGGTATACAGAATGTCAAGTCACAAGAATAAAAATGCGAAATTTCTCAGTTCAATATCGTGTATGGCCGCCCCGCGCGATTCTGCGCCATTGCTCTTGCAAGGCAGCGCCAAGTTCCTGCAAATTCTGAGGTTGGTTCCTGAGACCACGAAGCCTTCTCCCAAGTGTATCCCAAACGTGCTCTATTGGACTAAGGTCAGGGGACCTCGATGGCCAGTCCATGACGGTGATTCCAGCGTTTTGAAGGAAATTTCGTGTCAACATCGCGGTATGCGGCCGCGCATTATCATGCTGGAACTGTAGACCTGGGCCATGAGCCGCCATGAAAGGAACGAGTTCAGGGGTGAGCACCTGGTCGCAGTAAGCAGCAGCTGTGAGGTTTCCACGGATGACCAGATGTCGGGAACGGTTGTTCCCACAGAAAGCACCCCACACCATGCAACTTCCGCCCCGAATCTGTCGACTTCCTGTACACAACATTGGGCATACCGTTCACGATGTCGTCTCCAGACTCTATGCCTACCGTCCGCGAATCTGAGGGTAAACCTGGATTCATCGCTAAAGACGACTAGATTCCAATCTCTCTGGGTCCATCGGAGGTGACGTTGGGCCCACAGCAGACGCTGACGTTGATGAAACGGCGTCTATATTGGCCCACGATATGGACGTCGAACGTTTTTCTAGAGTCGAAAGATAGGGATCCCATTTCGGATACACAGATGTATCATCAGAGAAAAATATTCTTTATTTTTCCAATTACATTTTCTGAAGTTTCTTTTTTGACTCAGTATATTTGTGCAAACCACGTGGTTTCACTGTGTCTTTATTGACTTTAAGAAGGCCTTTGGCTATGTGAACGGAAACAAGTTATTATTCAAATGAGCACTAAAGGGTTGTCATCGGAAAATGTTTAATGTACTTAAGAGTATGTATTCATCAGTTAAATCATGTGTGAGATCAAACTCGAAAGAACAGAACGAGTTACTTTATCGCATCAGCAGGTGTCCGACAAGGATGTATTCTTAGTCCAATACTTTTCACCCTTTTCCATAAATGAGGTTGTCACTGTAAATGTGATCACAGGAAATGTATATTTGTTGCACAGACTATTTGTGATATAATGCTATCTTTGTTTGCCGATGTTGTTACAATGTACTGTTTCAGCGTTACAAAAACCAATTCAATGTGCTCCAGTCTTTCTGTGAAAGAGGGGGATTTAAAGTCAATCTAACTAAACCAATGTTATTATATTCAGAAAAGGAGGCATTGTTGCTAAACGTAAGAGCTGGGTTCTAAACAACGTATATATCAAAATTATATTATAAGTATTTAGGATTCTTGTTTTTACCAACTTTAAATTGGGCAAAAGCATGTCAAACGCTAGCAGTTCAAGCTTCACGTGCAATGATACGTCTGTTCACATTATTTCCACCAACAAGATCACTAGCCTTCAGACTGACCATGGTGCAACAACTCGGCCATGCTCACGAGCTTACAGAGATCTTGACCAGCGTCTCAACCGACTGAGACAACAACTTGAAAGTGGAAGAAGATCACCTATTCAGTTCCTGGACGCAGCAGGTCACTTACTGAAGCTTCAATAAACTCAGAAATCCATGAACTCCAGTACAGTGTACTAGTTAACAGCCAGTGCCATTATTGTATTATATTATAATATGATTTGCTGTGAATAAAAAAATACGAAAGAAAAAACATTTTTTTATATCTTAATGCCAAGTTGTTAATGTGCTACTAATCAAATTAAAGGAAAACTAAGGGAGATTCCATTTATATATGAAGGGGGTACATATATTACTCATGCATGAAATAACAGTCACCAGACCATGAATTGTTGTTTTGAGACTGTAGGCGAAATGGGAACATGCCCTGACTCAGCACAGTGGTTAAAATCGTTCTCCCGTCATGCCGGAGAACTGAGTTCGATTTCCCGCATGGTACAATGTGTGAAGACCAGTTTTGATCTCCCCACCGTGTTGTTGCTGGAATATTGCTAAAAGCAGCGTAAAACTAAACTCAACCCGTTTCTGTCGGGGTATACAGATAACATCATCGATCGATATATTGGAAGGGGACATAACTCTTGAAGGCTTAAAACTAGGTTTGAAGGGATTTGATTTCTTCATGTTGTTTTTTTCATTTTATGATGTCAATCTTGTCAAATAAATAACTAAATCAGTTTTTACTCTTAAATGACTTTTTACCAAGGATTTTTCCTATAATCTTTTCTACGGAAATTCTGTATATAATCATTTTTTGCCTTTTATGTCATTTTGAATATACATTTTGATTCAAACTATACACTTATGAATGCTTGAAGTGTATCTACCAAGATTCCATTTAATGTTTTGCAATCCACTTTTAGTATTACCCGATGGTCCTGTCGGGGCCGACTTTTCATGGCCCGAGTTTCAGGCACTCCCCGGGAAAACCAAATCGAATTTCTGTGTGTCGCTCTAATCAAACAAGGCGTAGTGAAAGGCAACAATACCGGGTCCAACCTCATTGAATTAGGGGCAGTGGGGTAGCCTAGTGGTTAAAGCGTTCGCTCATCACGCCGAAGACCCGGATTCGTTTCCCCACATGGGTGCAAGATGTGAAGCCCATTCCTGGTGTCCCCCGCCGTGATATTGCTGGAATATTGCTGAAAGCTACGTAAAACCAAGTTCACTTACTCCTTAATTATGGGAATTGGTATCGGAAATTTTGTCATACTGGTAGAGAGAACATGAAATGTCTCGGACCAAACATATTTCATGTAGTTGACCCAGCATATATTCAAGCTACTGAGCTGACTTTGAAAATCGTCTTTGGACCAGCTGAAGGAAAACAAACCATCAATGATTTTATGTTTCTGTTTCTCTTTCCGGAAATATTGAAAAGTGTTTTATGTTTTCAGAGATATTTACATTTATTTGCAAGTGAACGTCCAATGTCTGAAAGGAGATTTTCATTACACTTTTTTATGTATCAGTTTGAGAAAGAATTTGTCAACGTGCGGTGTGTGCACATGATACTTGATATTGACGTAGTTTCACAGGGGGTCATAATGTCCATGTATGTCGTGTTGAACATGATCTTGGTCTGTGTACCTCAATGATAATTGTGCTGAACGATGACACCACTGTAAACTGTAGAACGTAGTCAATGTAATGGTATGTCATGGCGTTTTCGGGTTCTACAGAAACCAAGTCAGAATCTCGCAGATGGAATCAAGAGAGCTACGTGTTGTAGTGAGAATACACCCCTGTTTTTTATACCTGAACTGGTACATGTATACATTTTCTGGACAAAGAGTATAGTACTATTCAGGGTGGCGGCACGTCTTCTCATAGCTACATGCACAATTGTCCTAAAGGTGCCTCCATATGACGAATAAGTTACACAACGCTAAACGTCGCAGACACGGTATATTTGTAATGTTATGCAGAAGATCAGTACAGAGTACGGCTTTTACAAACTACTGTCTTCGTTCGCTCGTTGTTGAAGCGATTTTGATGATTTATTGTTTTTGTAAAGGGTTCATTTCACTCACACTACACTAAAACCTTGCTCTCCTCTTCTTAGTGTTCACACTTTACATTTGCTTGTCACGTGTTCAGTAGTTAAGCTGTCAAAATGCCGATAACATGTTATTCATAAAAGACAAAGTTGTTTACCAGTCGTTGTGAAGTTGCGATGATAGGTGCTAAGTGTGGGTATGTATGCAATATGGAATCAGTAATGTCTGGTGAATGCAGTGATATCATGTCTATATTGCATTTGAAATATATATTTGTAAATAGTATCAACAGACACACAAAGCATCCCGTGTGAACACAATCGACACCTTTCACACAAATGTGTAACTATAGTGCTTTTTTACAAATATTAAAGTGTATATATGGTATACTTTGCTGGACATAACACACGCATACATACTCAACATTTGAAATGACTGCATAAGGTATTTGTTCACACAAAACACTTAATGATGTATGACTCATGAAGGTCGGGTTAGAATATTGGCCTTCAGTAACCCATGCTTGTCGTAAGAGGCGACTAACGGTTTCGGATGGTCAGGTTCGCAAACTTGGTTGACTCATGTCATGGTATCCCAATTGTATAGATGCTCATGCTGTTGATCCGTGGGTTGTCGGGTCCAGGCTCCAATAGTTACAGACTGCCGGCATATAGCTGGGATATTGCTGAGTGCGGCGTTAAACAACAAACCAACCATAAAATGTATTCACTTACAATTCATTTCGGGTTCAATTTCATTTTCCTGAAATAGAGACTCAGGTTTGACATTCCAGAATAGAAAATTGAAAGAAGTTTCATCTTTCATAATATTGCATTTAATTTCCATTGAATTATCTGAACTGGGTTCAAGTGTAAATGTCACGTCTGAGACTTGGGTGTTTTATCAATGTGTAGAACGTTGTTTATGAATTATAACCCTATTCACGACAAGGTGCGAACTTTGTACTCAGATACATTATAACAGTCTGTCATCGTGTGATGTCCTAAAAGCTTGTAACATAATACGGTGTACACTCGTCAGTGTCTATTGCCCTTGGTAGTAGGGCCTACTGTACTGCGCTGTGCATATGATGGCGCCACCCGCCCCACCAGGACAGACATGACTAATACAAATTACTCTCTCGAGGAAATCTGCTTTCATAACATTGTCGACAGGACATTTAATGATGACTCATTAATCGTTTACTAACGGTAAATATAACATCGTTCTTCTCATACAGTCAATATCACCTTTGGACACATAGAACAAGAAGGGTGCAGATTATAGAATAGCATATATGGAATTGGTTCCTAGTTGATCACTGAGGACAGCGAAAACATTATACATGAAACATTATCCCAACTTATAAAAATGCTAGGACACTGAAATATGACAGGCACCTGGTGGTCAGTACACTGAAATATGATAGACACCTGGTGGTCAGGACACTGAAATATGATAGACATCTGGTGGTCAGTACACTGAAATATGATAGACACCTGGTGGTCAGTACACTGAAATATGATAGACACCTGGTGGTCAGGACACTGAAATATGATAGACACCTGGTGGTCAGGACACTGAAATACGATAGACACCTGGTGGTCAAGACACTGAAATATGATAGACACCTGGTGGTCAGGACACTGAAATATGATAGACACCTGGTGGTCAATACACTGAAATATGATAGACACCTGGTGGTCAGAACACTGAAATATCATAGACACCTGGTGGTCAGGACACTGAAATACGATAGACACCTGGTGGTCAGAACACTGCAATATGATAGACACCTGGTGGTCAGAACACTGAAATATGACAGGCACCTGGTGGTCAGGACACTGAAATATGACAGGCACCTGGTGGTCAGGACACTGAAATATGATAGACACCTGGTGGTCAGTACACTGAAATATGATAGACACCTGGTGGTCAGGACACTGAAATATGATAGACACCTGGTGGTCAGTACACTGAAATATGATAGACACCTGGTGGTCAGGACACTGAAATATGACAGGCACCTGGTGGTCAGGACACTGAAATATGACAGGCACCTGGTGGTCAGGACACTGAAATATGATAGACACCTGGTGGTCAGTACACTGAAATATGATAGACAACTGGTTGTCAGTACACTTAAATATGATAGACACCTGGTGGTCAGGACACTGAAATATGATAGACACCTGGTGGTCAGAACACTGAATATGATAGACACCTGCTGGTCAAAACACTGAAATATGATAGACACCTGGTGGTCAGGACACTGAATTATGATAGACACCTGGTGGTCAGAACACTGTAATATGATAGACACCTGGTGGTCAGAACACTGAAATATGACGGACACCTGGTGGTCAGGACACTGAAACATGATAGACACCTGGTGGTCAGGACACTGAAATATGATAGACATCTGGTGGTCAGGACACTGACATATGATAGACACCTGGTGATCAGGACACTGACATATGATAGACACCTGGTGGTCAGGACACTGACATATGATAGACACCTGGTGGTCAGGACACTGACATATGATAGACACCTGGTGGTCAGGACACTGACATATGACAGACACCTGGTAGTCAGGACACTGATATATGACAGGCACCTGGTGGTCAGGACACTGACATATGACAGGCACCTGGTGGTCAGGACACTGACATATGACAGGCACCTGGTGGTCAGTACACCGACATATGACAGGCACCTGTTGGTCAGGTCATTGAAACATGGCAGACAGCTTGAGGTCAGGACACTGAATTTGATAGACACCTGGTGGTGAGAAACAAATGCAATTCGATAGACACCTGGTGGTTAGGATATGTATACTTGAGAGACTGCTGGTGGTCAAAGCACTATTTTTGATAGACACCCGATGGTCAGGACACTGACATTTGATAGACACCTAGTGGTGAGACACTGACATTACGGTTGGTCAGGACATTCAAAAACTTATAGACAGCAGTTTAGTGCACTAATGTTGGTCGTGTTCCTGTGGTGTGTGTGTGCGCATGCGTATGCGTGCATGTGCGTGTGTTGAAACAAAGCTTTATGAGTATACCTTTTATCTGAAATAATTTGAAGTAAAGAATATGTGATTCCACCATTA